TGACCTGAACACACTCACACATACAGCACTCAGCTCTCTACAGCTCCTGACCTGAGCACACTCACACTCACAGCGCTCAGCTCTCTACAGCTCCTGACCTGAACACACTCACACTCACAGAGCTCAGCTCTCTACAGCTCCTGACCTGAGCACACTCACACTCACAGTGCTCAGCTCTCCTCTACAGCCTGACTTTCCCCATCTATCTACATCAGGCTGAGTCCCAGCAGACCTTTCAGTCCGAACTGGCCACCTGACTCACCGAGGTGTTCACAAAGCCTAAACGCAATAAAAACGAGTCTTTAGCTGCTAATACAGCGCGGGCAGGTGAATGCAGGGCCACACTTCTGAAATTCAGAAGAGCTGCTGATACCAGGAAACGTGCTTATTGGTTAAGTTATTATTGTTTACACAGAGCCGTTTCCCAGTGTGATACTGCAGCTTGCCAGGTGCTGTGGATGAATCCTGAACAACCAGATCCGTCAAAAATCTGCTAGTCGCAGTCCCAGTGGGACAAAGAGCATGTTGTCATTTCTCCTGAAATCTTCCCTCAGGTTGCTTTAGTTTCCAGGTAAAAGGCACCTGTCAGAGTAAAGTCAAACATCATTACCAAGCGTCCTTAATTAATACACGGCTTGTGGGACTCTGTGACTAACCACTACTTATAATATTTTTCCTGCTGTTTACACAACTCGCTGTCGTGTCCCGTGACCGAACCGGGTGAACTGAGCTGAACGCGTCCATTGAGATTTTAACATTTCACCCCCGCTGCGCACCTGGTCTCGCACAGGTGTGCGGAAGTGACGAAACGTCGCCCAGACTCAACGCCTCCGCGATTTTGAAATTTTCTTAACCGCTGTTATGGTAACGGCTAACCTCCCCCCCTTTTAAAAAGGGGGAGGTTGGCGGTTTTTTTAAAATTGGGCCAGTCGGAGAGATTTTACTTCGCCGACGTCCAATTTTGGGACCAAGAAAAATAAAAGTAAAGTTAAAAAAATGAAAGACGCCAAAAACACCTGGACGTCAGCCGTTGCTCACGGTGAGCGAATTTTGACCACTATTTTGTCTGAAAGATCAATTAATTTACCCCCATCAACAGATTCGGTTTGGTCTTTTCCTTTTAGAAAATATTTTTTTCTAAAACAAACCGTAAAGGTATATGTTTAGCACTGAACGAACCCAGTTCCACTCACAGATAATAAATTACTTAACGGGCAGCTTAGACTGAAATAAAGTTTAAAATATTTTTTTTAAGTTACTTTATTGTTTGACCGCAACTAAATACAGCGCTACAGCATTTGCTGTAACACTGTTTATAATCACGCATAACATTGTTTTATCCGCAGTCGTATAATTATTATACACTTATTAAGTTATAGGAAAAAAACCCACCCTTTTTCAATTAGAAGGCGCTGGCGAACGTATTTGTCAGATTTGGGCAGTGGTCGGTTTTAGGTTCACAGAATTGCGTTAAGATCCACGTTTAAAATACCTTTGATGTTTTCACCCAATTCCTAAGTGCAGCATTGGAATTAACAACCTGACGAAGTTTTGCGAGGATCCTAATACTATGGCCGGTACAACAGGTGACATAACAAAAACCGAGATCAGTGCCCATGTGCCCTTCGTGTGTATTTGTACTGTAGCCTCTGTGCTTGGTCAGTCTGACGGCTTCTCTCTGATTGCGCTGGCGGATGTACAGAGTCTGTAACTCTTGAACACCACAGTCGATGTGGAATGAATGAGGCGCGGTGCCGGGTTTAATTCATTTTCATGATTTCGTGATTTCCTGAGTTGTGATTGTTAATTATTCGGTCAGACTTTTTGCAGGAAGGAGGGAAACCGCAGTACCACCCCCTAGTCCTGCCCTGCAAGGGGGTCCCATTTCTGGGCGCCAGCCAAGCAAACTCGGCTCAAAACCGTCGAGTATTTTCTCTCATTTTCTGCTGGTGCCGTTTGGTTTTCCGGCATCCCTTACTGTTGGCTGCGCCCCGATCCCGTGAGGGTTTCCGAATATCCTGTAGGCCTGATCAAATATTGTTCGAGTGCCTGGAGCAGATGCAGTTGGCCAATAATAAATCGTTGAAAAGAAATCCAGTGGGTTTCTCACAGCGCCAGCCTTGAGCCTGGACTACACATGGCCTGCCAAGTGGCTCAGAAGGGAAAAGAAAGGCTCTTGATTTTGGTGGGCGTAGCACAGTAGATGTGTTCATAATAACGTAACTTCCCTCCTTCTGTAAGGAAATGTACCTCCTTGCCCCGACAAAAGGCCATGTGGTGACTGTGGGCATCAGAAACAACCGTGGTACATTTCTGTGTTTCCAGAAAGGGTTGTGGGTGCTCGTGATTGAAAGGTTGGGTGCATTCTTGTGATATTTGTGCTGATTGGTTGGTGTTCTGTCACGGGTTACTGGAGGTGCCTGTGCCTTTTTAAACACCCCCCCCCTCCATCTTTGTCTCACCCTCTGCTGTGCACCTCCAGCCCTCTCACTCTCCCGCCTGGGTCGCAGTAGATTTCTTAATTTTCCAGCAGTTGGTTTTCACTTTGACTCGCCAATAAGAGGCTCTTTCTTCTCGCGGTGCATCCAGGGAGGCACAGAGATCCAGACCAAGGGTTCTTCTGTCGCTTTAACCACAATAACAGTGTGGACAGGGCTGACCAAGGGAAATTCACTCTGCCCTTTACTTCTTGAACTTTCACAAATGCTTAGCACCCGTTCAAAAACACCTTTTGTTTTTTAACCCAAACTGGATAAGTAAGGTAAATAGAAAGGACCAAAGAAAGAGATCTGTCGTAATCACACCGCGAGGTACGTTCAGTAGCATGAGAGCCAGTGTCAATACGTTGATTATTATGAGGCTTCTCTCTTCCTAGTTTGTAATATTTGCAGTACTCTTATTTCAAAATCACTCTTTACTTTTTTTCCCCTGGTTGCAGTTTAAAAAGTACTAAACCTGTTCGAACACAAGCTGCCTGAATTGTGTCTTCAGGTTGTTTTCTTTGTAAGGCACGTAACTGTGGGAACAGAACAGATTTATTTTCCTGTTTTTTTTTGGTAGAATACAACCTCAGTATTTCTCCGATAATACCCTTTGAGAGCGCTGTCACATCTGCAGTTGCATATGAGTGCATTCAGTTCAACTGCTGCTTAACCACTGAAGTAGAAAACATGTTGTGTAAAAAGCCTGCAATCCCTTTTCACACTTTTTTCAAATCTTTCAAATGTCAAATGTTTTAACAGTTTTCTTACTGGAACACAATGAATGTTTTTTTTTCCTACAGCATCTTCTGATTTACTGTCCAGCTGTATTAATTTAAGTAAGTGAATAAGAAAGAGTTTAGTATACATCAGTACAATGTGTTTTCTGCAAAACCCTTCTTTTAGTTCAGAATTCAGTTTTTTATGAATGAGAGCTATTGTTCGTGAGAAATCTGGATGTAGTAATGTGTGTTGATCTTGCAGTAAGCTTCAGGCCACTGTGCAACCTTAATTTACTTCCCCACTACCTGTGAACATGCCATGTTTCTTAAATATTTTGTTAGCAAGGTGGAAAGCAGTGTTTTAAGTCAAGGGTGGCCACCTGTATCCCAGAAAGTCTACAGGCTGTGCCGGTCACCTTGAGTGAACCATTCTCTGAAGAAAGCTTGTGGATAGTTTGTTTGCTTATAGCTTTGCAAGCAGTTTTCTCAGTGAAATCAGGATAAGAGAGCTGTAGGCAGACTGGAAATAGGATGCCATTTCCAGTTCCCTTGAAATTGCTCTGTCTTTTGATGTGACGTGTCTATACAACATTCTTCTGGATGTTCAGAAAGCCGACGGTGGCGGGGGCTGGCTGGTGAGCTGCCCGGGCTGTGGCACCAGGCTGGTCCCTGTAGAGACAGTGACGGGAGACCGCTCAGAGCGCGAGCTGTCCGGAGAGCCGCGAAGGGGAAGCTGGCGATGGGGGCGAGTGCATGAAGGCTTCTTTCGTTTTGCTTTTTGGGAAAATTTACAGCATGGAAACAAGACACCAGAGAGAGGCTCTATCTTTCTGTGATTTAGTGCGTCTCCGCCTTGAGGTAATGTTTTTCCCACGGGTCCCGCGCCTAGCGAAACCCTCCCACCGCGCAAAAAAAGCCACTGTTCGCTTCGAAGGGGAACCGCTGGGCTTTCCAGAAAAGCAGAGAAGAAAGAAAAACGGAACCAGCCGCTGGTTTGCAAGTGACGAGCCCAGCCTTGCTTCTGAAAAGCGCTGGTGAGGGGCTGCTCCATCTCACAATGGAGCTGAACTGTGGGAATACGGCAGGAGGAAGGAAGCAGGTCTCCTTCGGGTTCTGGGTGATACAATCTGCAGCAATGCGCTCACCGCTGTTCCCTGCTTTCGGGATCTGTTCTGAATGACCTCACGGCAGGGTTTTGTCACTGTTCTACGGAATTGTCGGAAAAAGACAATTATTTAGAAGCGCGCCAGTCACCATGTCAGCCTTTTATGGCATTTTTTAGGCACAATTGTTCTTGCGTTGACTGTTTCCAGAAATGATCTCCAGCAATCAAGGTACTTTTAGAGTAGAAGGGTGCAATGTGTCATTTGGGTAGAGACAATGATTTTTGGAAACTACCATAGCGTACGAAACAAGCAAAAACAACAACAACATCTTGTGCTAAATAAACATAACAAAAATACCCCAGAACTCAAAAGGTCACCAATAGCCCTGTTTCATTTTGCCATCTATTACTTCACCCTATATGTTATCAGGAAGGACTTCAGAGATGAGTTTCTCTCATTTTTTCTGTTTCTCCTTTTCCTATTGCAGTGTTTTGGAAAAGAGCCTCCAATAGTCCACACGCCAGTGTCAAAGGTCATTTCCTGTACAAGGTCTGGCGAGATTGAAATGATTTCTGGATGGAGCCTGAGCCTTCGGCAGCGGGGGGGTAGCAGGGAAGAGGGTTTAGGGAGGAGCTACAGAGCTGGTCAGGTTAGCCAGGACAGCAAAAATGGCAAATGGATCCCCTCGGAGAAACCCGTGGGCGCTGAGACACAGGAGGGCTCTTCATGAAGACTGCGGTGTGCCAGATGTTCTTTTTTTAAAATTAACATTGTTCTCCAGGGGCTCCCTAAGTCAAGATCTTTAATGCCACAATTTCAGGAGCGACGTAGTCAGTTCCAGGACTTTCCTACAGCGAGTCTGTGGAAAATGAAGTGGGTGAAGGACACATTGATCCTTAAACTAGGCATGTACCACAAAGTGATTTTTTTTCAAGAAAGTCTTTTAAAGCAGGACTGAACTAAACCAAATCATGCCATCGTAATAGTCTCTCGGGCGAAACCAGCAAAGCCTCTCAGCCTTTCACACAAAACGTCACTGTACCGGACCATAGTTTCACCGAACAGTGCCATTGCTGATTGCTTCGCTAAGTGCATGCTCCCAAATGTGCAGAGTTTCATTTTGTCTCATCTAAGAAAAAAAAAATCATTTTATTTCATGTAGGACTCAAGAGTTTAGCAATGTGACTGAACTGTGTGTCTGAACACTCCAGGTTAAAAAAAAAAAGTGACCAAGACATGAGACGGCGATCAGAGACATTTCTGCAGCACTGTGATCATTTGTCTCGCTGCCAGGGAGCGAACAGGACGTTCCCGCGCTGACAGGGGGGGGGGGGTGGATTCTGCCTGTCACAGTTCAAAGTCAGTCTGGCTCTTCCTGACAGGGTGGGATAAGTGTGCCGTCAGGGCAGTGGCATACTGGCACACTTTGTCCACTTCAAAGAGGCCCAAAGAGGCACCACAGGGAGGTGACCAGGTGTGGGCACGTTCGCCCCCCCTCCGCTGGAGGCAGGCCCAGCTGGGGGGGCTGAAGACGGGGGACTTAGCAGCCACTTGTGAAAGTGTGCCTGGGCTCAAAGACCTCCAGCCTGGCGCAGCGAGAGCCAGTCCTTCCACCACGAGGAGCCAGCAGTCCCAGGACTCCTCGAGACCACGCTCCTTCATTTCCCAGGCAAATGCCTCCGAGCAGGGAGGGCGCGAAACGTCATCTGTCTGTCCTTTCCATATTTGTTTTAGAAAAACAGATCACGCCAGTACTGTAAGTCATAAACCAGTACCGTCAATGACTCCCTTTTCTTTTCTTTAAAAAAAAAAGAACGTGACTTACTGTATCGGCAAAACATTTGTTTATGCAAAACAGCAGACCGTCGCTGGATAGTAAACATTAAAATGTTCCTACCCCTGGGGCACCGGCCTTCAGAGCCCCTGCTGCCTTGTGTCATGCCTGTCTGCATTACCTGTTGCTGTGAGAGATTGGGATGAGAAAAAAAGAAGGCAAAACCTTCCAGGTGAGACGCCTAGCTGCCTTACCCTGTGCTTCACACTGCACTGCAGTCCACACGTTTTTTAGATCAGCTGAGAACATGAATTGGTTTATCTTAATCTGCCCACTCCTTTCTCACCAAATTGTCCAGCGTTTGGGTTCTGTGTACCTTTGTGTGGTGGAAGAGGAGCTTCAGATTGCTGTTCAGAGAACTGGCTCAGGATTTACGGTCTTGTGCTTTTTGTCCCATTGTGTACTTTTATTTTAAATGTGCAGTGTACATATAATGAAAGTATGGCAGGATCACACAGTTGCACTCACCCACGAAATGCCCTGTAATGAGTCAGTCCCCTTCTCCATAAGGTTAAAATTAGTGACTGATTATGTGTCAGAGTAAAAATGATTGTCTTCTCTGCGGATGCTAATTGTGGCTTTTCCCTCGAGAACAAACCAAATCCAAAACTGTGACCAGCTGACCAGGCTTTGTTCATTCCGGCCCTGGAAAACCCATGTGATGGGCATTCCCATCCCAGCACCTCCTGCGTCAAGCAGTTTCAAGGTGTGGGGGGGCAAAGGTGTTTCAGGGCTCGTAAAGAAACGAAATGCAGAGTAGCAGGATGAGAAGTGTGCCCAAGATAGGTGTGCGAGGTTGGGGAGTGAAAGGAAGTGTGCTTCTGCCTGTTATCAGCACCTTCCTGCCAAGTCTCACTCTGTAGCTCCCAGAATCAAACAGGCGCAAGAGCTGCTATCCAGTGGCTGATTGAGTCCTTTTTTTTTGGGGGGGGGAGGTGTTGTGTGGTAAATTACCTCTCATCCACATCAAAGGAAAGTGACTACTACGTTCTCCTTTAACACAACACTTTCCCAGGCCTGCACGGTCCTTTATAGTGGGAGAGAGAGGAAAGAACTGCAACTTCAAAGGCCAAGCCTACATCGGACAGAAAACAATTCAGGGAGCTTTAGCAGCACTCTACTATTTCCAAGCGTGACGTGATACAAGCAGGGACTGAATTCTATCACACTTCAGCTTTTTCTTCCACCCCTTGTCACTGTTTTTTTAAAGAAATTCCGTTATATTCAGGAGTGTGCTCTTAAATGGTGGGCAGGCTGGAGGGATTTGTCAGACTGGCATCTGTAATAGGACAATCCCTCTCCTCCAGCCTTCCTGGTCAGATTGTCTCCGCGGGGCCCTGAGAGTGCGGTACAGCCTTTCCTGTTGTTCCCAGCTCAGGCTCGCCTCTTACCTGCCGGCGGCTGGGTGAAACCGGTCACGTTTAGGGGCGCAGCTGTCCCCCGGAGGAGAGAGCCGACCCAGTAAGCGAAAGATCAGTGCAGGAGTGAGATAGGCGCTCCTCAGTCGAGCGCTGCGTGTCTGGCTCTCTCACTTACAGGAATTGGGGATGTTGCCATTCCCACCGTCCTGACCTCGCGTCCCATGTGGCGTGAGTTTCTGTTGCTTTCAGTATTGCAATCGGTGGCTTTTCCTTTTCTTGTAGTTTGTCAGAAACCCCCCTCCCCTCTACCCTGAGTGTCCCAGGTCGAGTTCCTATCCTTGCACTGCCCCTCTAAGCGGAAATACCGCTGTTTTACCACGAAAAGAGCCGTTGGCCTCACCCCTGTGGATAGCTATAAAGCTCTCTCCCCTGCTTGGGTCAGGTGAACTTATGGGGTTCCTTCATAATTTAAACACCGACTTCCTGCTTCCTGTTCTTTATCACCCCGTTATGCTTTCACTCCTCTTTTGATCCATATTTTGTCCTTATTTGTTCATGTTGTTCTTATCAGATCTCTGACAAACTGCCCATGCACTAGGAGTCCTGCGCTGTGTGCTGATCAAAACAGAATCTGAAACTTATTTCTCCCTGCCTTTAATGTAGAATGGATGGTCTGGGCAGAGCTGAAATCCCGCCAGAAAATGGCCATGCATGGTCTGGACGGGGAGAGGAGGAGTGGGAACTTCAGTGCGCTCCGAGGCGTGGCAGTGAGGCCCGGACCGCTGGGGCAGCTCACCCTGCCTTCCGAATCTGCGCTGTGGAGTTGCAGCAGAGCCCCTGAGGACATCCTGTGCTGTACAGTATATTGTTCAGAGGAGGAAAGAATGCTAGATGCTGGGCTTGATTTAGTGGAACCGGGACTCTTTACTACTTTTTCCCTGATGGAATTCGTCCATGAAACTTGATGTTTCTCCTAAATCACCTGCCCATTTTTTTCTGTGCTTCTGGTGTGCAAGAATGCAAGGGAGCTGATCTGAATGTACTGCGCTGCTTCTTGTCCGTGGATTAACATTAACTTTTTAAAAGGGCTGTCTGGGGTTCCCCCAGCCTTGCTGAAGACATGCTGCCAAGTTTGAGCTTGAGCTGAGGAGCTCCACATAAAAAAAACTGCATTGCAGATAGTGTTTTAAAATGTGTCAGTGCCAAGTGTATATTGGGTTAGAGAAGCTCATGCATAATGGCGATTTATTTAAAACAGCCAACCCAATCATTCCTCTATTACAATCAATTCCAAAAATTTAAAAAATTTAAATGTGATATGAGGGATTTTGAGGAAAAAAAGGAAAGCCCTTTCAGCGGTCTGTAGAAATGTTTGGCACTCTCATCAGCTCTTCGTATTTGGTCTTCTCTGTCCTTTGCCTGTCTTTTACTATGGTCATGGAGGCTTCTGTCTTCTCAACAGGGACCACCCACATTTTTTAAAAGAGCAACGGTACATTTTCGACACCCCCCTACTGTCCCAATAAAAATGTGATTTCCCACCATCCTCCCTCGGTTCACTTACCAGACTAATCCCCTTCTTTATGGGCTCAGTTAACCCGGCGGTTCGGATTACCAGGATTAAATCCCCTGTTTGTCTCTGTGAAAGCCATTAGGAAAGGCTAACAGAGTGACCTTGCCTTTCACCCCCTCATACCTCTCCTTCCTGGGAACCCACTCCTCCCCTATCTCCCTGTCCTCTTTGCTTGCTGTCCACACGTGGTCATCACTGTCCAGCTCACTGCAGGACCCCTGGACTGGAGGAATAACTGGATGGGCAAGGATAGAGATGGGTAGATGCAGAGCAAGGCATGGGCTGTACAGCTAAAGAGTTTTCACACATTGGAGGAAATGGGAAACTGGTAATAAACAGGTGGGAGTGTGGATTAACCCATCCTAAAATAACTACAAATGAAACTGATCGTTGGTTCTAACTGTTCCTGTAACGATCTGTTATGAGTCTAACTCTCAACATATGTAGAAAATGAAACTAATGTACTGTACTTATTGTGAAAGGGAAGGCTCTAATTTTTGCTTATCTAGGTGGAGATCTTACATGAATTTCCTGTGAACATCAGTGAACAAATAAATTGTTTTCCTACCAGATATTATTACCTTATTGTGCCTCTGGCAAATCTTGTTGCTCAGAATTTTCTCTGAGGAAGCAAAACCAGAACTGAGAGATGGAAAGAAACACTAGCAGCTACTGTTTTAAGTGGATTTCAAGAAGTTGGTCCTCAGTGTGGCATTCCTGTAGGAACTGGACAGCTGGCTCTCTGTGGCTTCTGTCTGCCTCGCGATTCGTCAGGCTGGTGCTGACTGGGAGCTCTCTGACCTCTGACCCCACACTGGGGGGCGCTAAGCTGCCAACTGTCGTCAAGAGTCAGGGGAAGTAATTTATTACCGGGGGGTCGAGTACGTGGAAGAAAAAGAAAAACAAGGGCTTTGACGAGCCAAAACGAGTATTTATCTGTTTTAAAGCATTTGAGTCCTTTCAAGGAAATTGACCTGCTCAACAAGCGATTTGTTTTTAAGTTCATTTGCCTTCAATGCCTTGATTTAAAGAAAACAATTTTGCGAAATAACCTTACTTCTTTATCTTCATTTCCTTCTGTTATAATTGGCTGGTCCAATATGAAAGTCCAGAGTAAATGCACTGATGGTAATCTAGATGGCTGCTCGCGATCTACAAGATGTGGTCTCGCGCCAGCGAGGGGGGCTCGCCCTGCGAAGGGCAGTGAGGGTGGCGCACGCCCTGTCCTAGCCCTCTCTGAGCAGGAATGCTTGCTCTAAAACGGCGCAGGTGCCTTCCTCTTGAGCTGCGTTCTTTGCACTCGAGTAGCCTGATCCAGACTCCCGCCGAGCCTGCTCCCAGGGCGGTGCTGAGCGTTCCTGCAGTCCCTTCTCCTCCCCTTTGGCGTCTCGTGACTGCCCCCTACATCAGCTGAGTCAAGGCGGTGAAGGAGCTGCAGGTTACTCGCACTCACGGGGCACAGCTGTCTCCTGCCTCACACACCGATGCATGCTTGTTCGCACTGGAGATGGTCTGGACTTTTCAAACGCCAGCTGAGAGCTGAGCACTGCACCCCTTATTCAGGAAACTGCCTGAAAATAATGTAAGGTCACATTAGCGCATTTGTAGAGTTGGGGAGGGAGTATGTTCTTGCTCAGAGATGGCGGAGGTGCTGTGTTGTGGACAAAGCAGAGAGCGATGGCCTGTCAGGGCCAAGGAATGGTCAATGCTGTTTTTCCGGAGCTTTGTAGGTGCTTTTCTGAGATAGATGAAGCGGCTCTACCCAAAATAACGCAGAAATAGTTGCCGTGAGGGGATTCACTTCATTAATTGAAGTGGTGGAAGGTATATTTGTGCACTCCAGAAGACACAGGACAGCCATCTCTCCACTTCTGAGGAGGCAGGCCGTGCTGTGAGCTGACTTCCACTCCACAGCTTCAACACGAGTTTGAAAGGAGGAACCTGCAAATAAAAGTGCATTTAAAACTGAGAACAGGAGACACTTCTTTCACAAAGAGTTGAGGGAGTGTGGAACAAGCTGCCCAACTATGTGGCTGGATGATATTCTCGGATTAATTTGCTACCCACTACCAGACTGGCTCCTCTCTTTGTGTATCCTTTCTTGTGTTGTTATGAAAGATGCAAGAAACAGGACCAGAATGATGGCTCTTCAGTCTGCACAGGTAACTGCTTGTTTCTGGGCGCTCTCTGCCCCCCTCAGGGATCCTGGGATCCTTGCTCTCGCTCCAGAGCAGGGAGGAGAGGGTTACATTTTCTCATGTTTTCAGATGCCCACCCCCATCCCTTCTCTCGAAGGCCCACTCGGGGATAAACAGGAAAGGAAGGAGGGGGAATTCATCCCAATGAGTGTATCCTGAGTCAGCGGTGCTTTCTGATGGGGGGTCGGAGCTCAGCTCTGGGGCTCTCTCAGCGGTTCAGGCGGAAGCCCTTGAGCTGCTATGTGGTGTAGCGTCAGATATGGTCTGTACCTGGCCGGCAATCCTTACGGCTCTGGACATCTTTATCCAGGTCAGACCAGGCATCCGGTTATAATTAACCAGATACGCAAGTTTAGAATAAATGTTCATTAACGGTGATGACCTAACTAATTTCCCCTCGAGGGAAATAAGGACAGTCTTTCTCTCTCTCTGGAGGGCCAAGTACACGGCAGGACAAGAGCTACAGCAAAACGAGTGTAGTACCTTGCTCAGGGATACAGGGTTAAACCCACATCCCTCTGGTTCAGTTCCCCTAACTACTCCTCCAAACTGCTGTAGCCTTCAGTATATATACAGCCTTACCTTGTGAGATGTGTGGACCATAACACTCACTGGAAAGAAAAATTCGAGGGCAGGAATGCCAAGGATGAGTAGACTGACATCTGCAGGTGAGTATACAGACACAGAGTGCACAGTGTCCATTTGGTAGCAGTTGTTTTTATTTTAAAGACCCTATCTGGCTGTGTGATGGTCTGACTTATATAAATGATATGCTTAAGAAGGCAGGTCTGTTTGGGTGTGATGTCGGAAATACTGTCCTTTTTTTAACAGACAAAAACTTAACTTTGTGAAGAATGCAATACCTGAGCCTTCAGTTCCTGCCCCCAGTTTCAAAGTGTGACTTATGCACACATGCATACCCACAGTCTTACATTCACACACACGCACACTGACATGCATACTTGCACACTTACACATACACACATGCACGTACGCACACACTTGCATACACACAATGTACGTGCACACTTACATACACACTTGCAAAGAAAAAAAACAACCACCTCAAGGAACAAACAGCTTTGTGACAAACCCTAGTCCTTCAACTTCCTGCGGCTGGGATGGCCTATGAATTCTCAAGCAAAACAGGAAGCAGATTGAAAATTAACAACGCGGAGATGACTGGTGATAGAGGAGAGAGCTGGGGGTCGTGGAAAACGCAGAGGACTGAGAGATTAGGATGGAATGAGGTGAATTGCTCCTGGATCTGTGAGTGCAGGAGAGACATTAAAATTCCCCCTTGTGACATTGTTTTGTGACATTGTTTCTGCTCATTTAAGGTTCTGGAGTACTGAAGACTATAGAATAGGACTTAGGTAACTAGCAAAGGCCCTTCAGTCTATGATTTGTAAGTGAGATCCTTCATAAAAAGGCTGGGCGAGATCCTCAGATCAGCGAATTATCAGTTACCTGGAAGGGCCCAGTGACTTTCTCTCCCTTGCCTGGATTTCGTTGCTTTTTGTTTCACTGTTCTGTGCTTAAAGCTGAGATCAGTGCAGGCAGAACCTCAAGACTCCGACCGATCTCCCCGCAGGTCGCCTGTGTACAGGAAGAAAGTCTTGAACTTGTTTTTCAGAAAAGAAAAACAGCCAGACCTGAGAGCTTCTCGCTCAAGAAGGGACAAACGGGATGGCGGTCGCAGGTTTCCCCTGGTGACTCGGTGTCTCTCTGGGACTCCAGGATTCAACTTCTTGCTGCCCTGGGGCTGAGATGGGTGGTGGGGCCCCGGTCACGTCCAGCAGCCCCATGAGCTTCCTGGATGGAGTGGATTCTGGGTGACTGTTCTTCGGGATCCGCAGCTTCACAAGGGCTGGGGACAGCGGGGGATATCAGGTTTAGGGCCGGTAGAGACAGGAGGTGCTTTCTTACACAGAGGATTGTGGGAGTCTGGAGCACCAAGCCGCCGAGTCATGTGGGTAAAGTCCTTTACGAAGGGATCAGTGTGGTTCACAGAACATTTAAACTACTGGTGACCCAGATGAGCCCTCTCGTGGGGAAGCTCTCCAGCTATAATATTGTTTTACGCAATATCAGGTGTGTTGTGAGGAGGAGCTGTTTTGAGGATGCAGACAAGCACAATGCTGACAGAGAGCAGCAGAACAGGACCCCATGATACTGCCAACATGGGCCTGGCAGCCAAATACATGTGGGTTCTGTCACGATTATAGTTCCCCCTCCTTAAGGGTGCTCCAGCCCTATTACTCAAGACTTTATTCTCTGCACCTGTTCCCTATTCCCCGCCCACCTTAAAAGCCAGGCGCTGACGCTCATCCGGGCTCTGCATCTGATTTCCGTATCTTGCGAGTCCGGGACCTGGAAGCGCCTGGTCCCGTTAAGGTTTTAACCTCTGTTCCCGTTCCTGTTCCCTGTCCGCCGGTTCCGACCCGGTCTTCGTGGTTTTAACTTCGTGTTTGATGGATCTCCTGGTTTTGGAGTTTCTCGTGTGTTTTTGGATATTCCCAAAGGACTACTCTCTCGGATTGTTCGCCTCGGCCACACCCCCCCGTGCACCAGCACACCTTGGACACGCCCCCCTGTCTTCTGCCCCGTATTCCTGCATGACGTTTCCCTAGTGTTTCCCCACTCCGTCGGATTGTGTCGTCCGCATAGGGTCCGGAAAGAACTGTTCGTTACAGGTTCACTGTAATTCCTTTGTCATCTGCCAAGAAAGGGAGTTCAGAGACTGAAAAGTTAATTTTTGGATTCCCTCTCTTCAATATCATTGTCATGATGAGACTTAGACCACTGCTCTTCCCAATGTACATTACAGATATAGACCCTGGTATAGTCTGTGAACTAGTGAAATGCACAGGTGATACTGGAACAGCAAGATTATTGAATGCTATAGAAGCTGCAGAAGAAATTCAGAAAGACGGGACAAAATTCAGCATTTAGCTGCGTGTGGAGGTCTGGAACATGCTGCCAGCCATGTTTCTTTTAAGACCAAAAGGGCCCCCTCCTCTCTTATCTGATTACATTATGAAACATGAATTCTGCAAATACAGACATAATCCTAAAATGTCTACCACCATGCTGCCAGAAGTCATTGTTTCCAAACAATAAAAATGAGAATGAAATTAAGTCGAACAATGTCACGTAAATCTTTCAGGGGTGTAGTTTCAGGCCCCGTGCACAATTATAGTGTGATTATAGCACGATTGTATGTTTTTTATGTTCTAGACTGGCAGTTTGGATTTCCGGCAACATCTGAACTTTCCGGTTACTCCATTTCCTTCTCGTTGTGTATTCCGACACTGCAGTGTTTTCCTGATGAGCCAATCGCTTGCTGCATAGACTGACTTCCAGTGCAAATCCAGCATCTCACTGCAGTGCCAGTGACTAACCCGGATTTGACCTGTGTGGCATCCCACAAGTCTAAGGAATGAGTGTCAACAAACTGATCGGGGAGAGTAAGCTATTAGATGCACATGCACATTCTTGCTGCTCTTCCTCCCTTTCATCTTGCTGTTTTCAGAGCCATGTGTACACCTGTAAAATCCTCAAGGCAGCAATTCCAGAGCCGTTTGTTCTGAAGCTTGCGGCCGATATCTTCCAATAAGCTCGTTGTGA